ACTGAACGCATCCCGCATGCAGACTGAACGCATCCCGCATGCAGACTGAACGTATCCTGCATGCAGACTGAACGTTTGTACTGTATCATACCTCCCAAGTGTTATTATCTGCTGCAGAGGAAGGGGACTGTCCCCCAATAACCTTTAGATGGGGAGGCTACAATCTGCTGGAGGGGGGGGTTGTTCCTGCACTTTTTCCACAGCAGGAACGCTGTTCCTGTTAGTAGTCCTGCAGGACTGGTTTGCCTTGTTAGTCTTGGGGAGGCGGCCGGCTGAACTCCGCAGAGTGATGCCGGGAGCCGGAATATGATGTCATTTTCCGGCTCCCATCTGGAACTCAGCTAACCGCCCGCCTGCCTTCCTGCCAGCACCCCAACTGGATCATAGGTAAAAAAATCCACCCAGCTCTCCCAAAGGTAGGGAGGCTGGGTGGATCTAAATTAAAACAAAAAAAATCTGTGAATGCTGGGGGTGATGCATGTAAACCATTGACAGTGAGTCTGTGTGTGATATCTGTCAGTGTGTGTCTGTCTGTCAGTGAGCCCCCACCCACCCCAGCAGAACCCCACCCACCCCTACAGAACCCCCACCTACTCACAGCCCCCCACCCACCCCAGTCCCCCTACCCACCTTACAGAACCCCCATCTACTCACAGCCCCCACCCACCTTACAGAACCCCCTATCTACTCACAGCCCCCCCCCCACTCAGTCCCCCTACCCACCTTACAGAACCCCTACCTACTCACAGTCCCCCTACCCACCTTACAGACCCCCTGCCCTCTCACAGCCCCTCTACCTTTTCAAAACCACCCACCCTCTCACAGCCTTCCTACCAACACCTTGTCACAGCCATCCCCACCCTGTCTCCCCACACACCGCCACAGCCCCCCCACAAACCCTGTCACTCCCCCCATACACGCACCCTTTCACCTCCCCACACACCCTGTCCCCCTCCCACACACACTCTAACATCCACATGTGAGTTCCCACAACTTTTTCTCCGGGACTTAACCCTGTGGGAGGGGGCTCTAATCTGCTGAAAGGGGGGTGCTGACCCCAATATCCTTTACATGGGGGGGGGGTTATCTGCTGGAGAGGGGGGGGGACTGTCCCCCAATATCCTTTACATGGAGGGGGGAGGGGGCTATTATCTGCTGGAGAGGGTGGGGGGCTGCAAGTGATTTATGAATTCCTCATTTAGGATGTTTACACCAAAGAAGAAAATTTAAATCAGAACCTGCAGGAAGTGTGTTAGTCCTAAAACGAAGAAACGGCGTCCTGGTATTTTCACACCTTCAGTGATCAGGAAGGAAGATACTGAGATTAATTGGGTTTCCAAGCGCAAGAAGAGACTTGTCCAATGAGCTTTGCAGAAGGTTAGGAAAAGGCAATTGCTTTTGATGTAAAGTGCTTAAGGGATTGCATGATCTTTCCATCCGTAATAAGGAGATTAGACCAGTGGTGGCATGCATTTTGTATCTCAGCCTAATTAATACATTTATCAGAACTCCGTCAGTTAATAGACAATATTTTACAATATCCAAACATGTAATAGAAAAACACATTCCTTATTCAAATCACTCCAATTACAAAACGTCCCTGGCAGACAAATAGCTACTCTCCCCAATTACCCTGCTTTAAAAATATCCTTACTTTTCTCCTCCCTCCCAACCTACCCCTGTTATCATAAAATACAGCTAATTATCTAGCTAGAGATTCCGCCCCATCCATCCTGACATTCCATCTTGTTCCCATTTAATCCTGTGTGAGATCCCCTGCTTGTTCCCATTTTATCCTGTGTGAGATCCCCTGCATGTTCCCATTTAATCCTGTGTGAGATCCCCTGCTTGTTCCCATTTTATCCTGTGTGAGATCCCCTGCATGTTCCCATTTAATCCTGTGTGAGATCCCCTGCTTGTTCCCATTTAATCCCGTGTGAGATCCCCTGCTTGTTCCCATTTAATCCCGTGTGAGATCCCCTGCTTGTTCCCATTTAATCCCGTGTGAGATCCCCTGCTTGTTCCCATTTAATCCCGTGTGAGATCCCCTGCTTGTTCCCATTTAATCCTGTGTGAGATACCCAGTTTGTTCCCATTTAATCCTGTGTGAGATCCCCTGCTTGTTCCCATTTAATCCCGTGTGAGATACCCAGCTTGTTCCCATTTAATCCCGTGTGAGATCCCCTGCTTGTTCCCATTTAATCCCGTGTGAGATCCTGCATGTTACCATTTAATCCTGTGTGGATTCTTGTTCCAATTTAATCCGGTGGGATCCTGCTTGTTCCCATTTAATGTGTGGGATCCCCTGCTTGTTCCCATTTAATCCGTGTGGGGATCCTGCTTGTTCCCATTTTATCCTGTGTGAGATCCCCTGCATGTTCCCATTTAATCCTGTGTGAGATCCCCTGCTTGTTCCCATTTTATCCTGTGTGAGATCCCCTGCATGTTCCCATTTAATCCTGTGTGAGATCCCCTGCTTGTTCCCATTTAATCCCGTGTGAGATCCCCTGCTTGTTCCCATTTAATCCCGTGTGAGATCCCCTGCTTGTTCCCATTTAATCCCGTGTGAGATCCCCTGCATGTTCCCATTTAATCCCGTGTGAGATCCTCTGCATGTTCCAATTTAATCCCGTGTGAGATCCCCTGCTTGTTCCCATTTAATCCTGTGTGAGATCCCCTGCTTGTTCCCATTTAATCCTGTGTGAGATCCCCTGCATGTTCTCATTTAATCCTGTGTGAGATCCCCAGCTTGTTCCCATTTAATCCTGTGTGAGATCCCCTGCATGTTACCATTTAATCCTGTGTGAGATCACCTGCTTGTTCCAATTTAATCCCGTGTGAGATCCCCTGCTTGTTCCCATTTAATGCGGTGTGAGATCCCCTGCTTGTTCCCATTTAATCCCGTGTGAGACAGCGTTCTAGAGGCATTTAAGTAAGATGCATACACAGAACGTATTCATTGTTTACCGTTCTAACTATTAATAAACTAACCGGACTGGACACGAAACGCCTCAAGGCTACACATTCCAGATATATCTATGACTTGGCTACTAGACTATTTGTGTTTGGGGTTTTTTATTCACACCTATTTCAGGTTTATATTTACATAATTTTGAAACTTGGAACTGTCTCTGAACACCATTACATAAACAGAATTAATGTTTTATCCATATATTGTGTGCTAACTACATGTCGTGTTTCCAATAAATGTTAAGTTATAAAAAAACCTGGCGCTGAAGGCGTTAGTGACGTGTTCTGGGATGGATTTGCTTAAACTCAGTGTAGACAACTTCCTAGGGCAGGGGTAGGCAACCTTCGGCACTCCAGATGTTGTGGACTACATCCCCCATAATGCTCTTACAGCCATAATGCTGCAAAGCATCATGGGAGGTGTAGTCCAAAACATCTGCAGTGCCAAAGGTTGCCTATGCCTGTCCTAGGGGCTTGTCTACCACGGGTACATACTCTGATTTCAAATGTACATTTATTTTGTTTTATGGTAATTGGACTTGTCTTGTTATTTATGACGCGAGATATGCGGCTTTCGCGTCCTTTTAATCATGGAACAAGCAACAGAGAACTGGATTCTTTTTTATATGAGAGGGGTGGAGTAGGGGTGCCTGAGAATTAGGAGCCTACAGGCACCCGAGATGTAAACCTGACCCTGAGCATGTAATATTGCACAGAACGTTTCCCAGACCTATACTTCCTCTCCCAATCCATTGCCAGCGGCTTTTCTAACTGTATTTACTGCACTTAGTGAGTGTCACTCAGAAACCTGGCAGGCCATTCATTAAATGTCTGTGTCTCAGAAAACAACATGTTTCCTTATATTACGGTGGCTGCCAGGATGATGATGTTCACAGAAGGGGAAAAGAGACAGAAAGCGGATTTGGGCCAAATTAAATAAAATAAACAATTCAACAAAAAAGTGTAACAATAAAACACATACAATCTGTGTAATTCGATTAAGTATTATATGAAAGGAGAGTTTATCTTGCTATGAAAGGGTTAATAAACTGAGTGTTCCATAGGAATGGGATAGGGGTTAATATGTAAAATGAGGGTTAGGTGGAGCCCTCTTGCATTGCATTCCCAGTGTTAGCCTCGATTTTAGTCTGTCGCCATTCCAGCAGCATCTCTGGGGTCACAATCGCACTGGACACTTCAGAGGAATTCTGGTGGACTTTTTTCTCTGTGTGACGCAATGACGTAATTCTCGAACAGGCAGTAGGGAAGTTCTATTTTGTTTACATCATAATCCTACACCTGACATCGAGAGTCCCTTCATATGAACCATACTCGGGCCTATAACCCAAAAATGCCTGGGATACAATGTGGCTATATGTATATATAAAAAGGAGCCCACAGAACATTCATTGCTACATCAGACCCCTTCATCCACTCACTAGAGCAATTCACAGGTAGAATTAAATTCAGGATGTTCAATGGAAAGTAATGCAAACTGACCCATATGTTATGAATTATTCATGTTTCTTTCGTGAAAACATACATGTGGATACCTAGTTCAACTCCCAGGGGTTCCTTACATGTTTGAGAAGTTGGTTCATTGATAAAGGATGATCCCACCCAAGCAGAAATGATAGACAGATTCTCAGGAGATTGAAGAGTCAGTGACTGAACTCTTGGCTTACTCTGTGGGGGGTCTCGTCAACAAACAAGGGCCATCGTGTTCTCATCACAGCCATTTGTAACTTTTACGTCTCAAAAAAGAAATACTGACTTCGACTAGGCTGTGTGGGGGTCCTCTTTAAATATGAGGACACATTTGGGGAAAACCTCTGTGGCTCACACAGACCAAACTCAACTGCTAGACGGAGGACAGAAGACAGTACTACTTGAAAGACAACATCTGGATCCAATTTATCAATTTATCCAATTTATCAAAAGTTAAATCAACTAGAACAAGGATTAAAATGGAGTTATTTCTTTGGTTCCCCAATTCACCAGAGTACAATGGGTTTTACCCATTACCTTACCTCAGAAAGGATAGTTGTCTTCTTGGCTACTTCTATCTGGTAGAGACGCACCCATTCCCATGGGATTGAGACAAACAAGGAGAGCACTAGGAGACCATACAAGGCGTGTAGACAAGAGTCCAGCAGACGGTGGTGTAGGGCTGTGCGGACTTCTAACCTGGTGGCCGAGGTTCTTCTAGAAATGATCTTCATGTCACCATCGAGCTGCTTCCAAGAACGCAGGGAAAGAAAAATAATGAAGCAGAAAATAGAGGCTGCAAATGATATTTTACTGTAAAAATTCCATGTTGAAAAAGGTGACTTCATGGACCACGGGGGTGGGAGAGCTTCTGAATCAGGGAATCCAAGAACCATATACTTTAAAATGTAAACTTTTTGAAAAAGCCATTGTCCTATGGAATCCATTATGATAATCAATTCTTCTCTAATGCATCGAGGGAACTTGTGACCAATCTGCAAGAGAGAAAAATAATCTTAAGAAATTATGGCAACAGACTACAGTTATTTAATGTCACCTGGCCATGACTGAAAAACATATTGCCATGTAAGTCCAGTGAAAGGCATCGCTATGTAAAGCAAGTCACTAGAATTGGTAGTTGGTACCCTAAAACCATGTGTCATTCACATGCCAACATCAAAAATTACCATGTGGTAATGCGAGGCTCGAGCTGCAGTGACACCAAAATAATAGATTCAGGGATCAGAATACCAAACAATTAAAGAGATGTTTAATTCACACTTTGCGTTGTAACATATTAAAAAATAAGCCACAGCAAATATAAAATGGTACCCCGACCATTGACCTTTTAAACATGGCTCATCCCAATGAAGTGGTCTAGGTGCAGTGGCCTTTCAGATGGTAAGTGAGTTTCGGCGGAACCCTCTTCACTTCCAGTACGACAATCTTGTTTTGTTAGAATTTAGTGTGTTTCATTTACCTATTGTACAGGGTTGTGGAATATGTTGGCGCAATATAAATAATTGTAATTGAAGAATATGCTAGCTTTAGTGTACTAATAATCTTTAGTAATGACAGGAGGCGAGTATTTTTTTTCAGATCTCTCTTTACTTAACTCGATAGCAGCAAAGAAACGCAGAAAAAACAAGAACCAATCAGAAACAAGTAACGTTAATACGAGGCACAGTGAACCCGAGCTCATCCTCTTTCTCCATGCAATATCACAGGCAAAACAGAGAAATTGTCCAACAAGCAGAAAAACCAAGAACGTCCAGAATACAGTAAGGTATGAGGAGGCCCACCAGACGGGGCCAGCAAACACGTCCCCAGAACCAAATTAAACTGAAAGAAAAATGTGTAATAGGCTTAGTCATATGGAAATAAACTAAAATCAAAAGAAAAGAGGAAAGTAGCGCCAATAAATTCATGTACTGTTACAATAATTCATATACTGTTACAATAATTCATGTACAGTTACATACAACATTTATATACTGTTACATACAATAATTCATATACTGTTACATACAATATTTATATACTGTTACATACAATAATTCATGTACTGTTACATACAATAATTCATATACTGTTACATACAATAATTCATGTACTGTTACATACAATAATTCATGTACTGTTACATACAATAATTTATATACTGTTACATACAATAATTTATGTACTGTTAGAATAATTTATATATACTGTTACATACAATAATTCATATACTGTTACATACAATAATTCATGTACTGTTACATACAATAATTTATATACTGTTACATACAATAATTTATGTACTGTTAGAATAATTTATATATACTGTTACATACAGTAATTCATATACTGTTACATACAATAATTCATGTACTGTTACAATAATTTATATACTGTTACATACAATAATTCATGTACTGTTACATACAATATTTATATACTGTTACATACAATATTTATATACTGTTACATACAATAATTCATGTACTGTTACATACAATAATTCATATACTGTTACATACAATAATTCATGTACTGTTACATACAATAATTTATATACTGTTACATACAATAATTTATGTACGGTTAGAATAATTTATATATACTGTTACATACAGTAATTCATATACTGTTACATACAATAATTCATGTACTGTTACATACAATAATTTATATACTGTTACATACAATATTCATATACTGTTACATACAATATTTATATACTGTTACATACAATAATTCATGTACTGTTACATACAATAATTTATATACTGTTACATACAATAATTTATGTACTGTTAGAATAATTTATATATACTGTTACATACAATAATTCATGTACTGTTACATACAATAATTTATATACTGTTACATACAATAATTTATGTACTGTTAGAATAATTTATATATACTGTTACATACAGTAATTCATATACTGTTACATACAGTAATTCATATACTGTTACATACAATAATTCATGTACTGTTACATACAATAATTTATATACTGTTACATACAATATTCATATACTGTTACATACAATATTTATATACTGTTACATACAATAATTCATATACTGTTACATACAATAATTCATATACTGTTACATACAATATTTATATACTGTTACATACAATATTTATATACTGTTACATACAATAATTCATTTACTGTTACATACAATAATTCATATACTGTTACATACAATATTTATATACTGTTACATACAATAATTCATTTACTGTTACATACAATAATTCATATACTGTTATATACAATAATTTATATACTGTTACATACAATAATTTATGTACTGTTAGAATAATTTATATATACTGTTACATACAATAATTTATATACTGTTACATACAGTAATTCATATACTGTTACATACAGTAATTTATATACTGTTACATACAATAATTTATGTACTGTTAGAATAATTTATATATACTGTTACATACAATAATTTATATATAAAATAATTTATATACTGTTGCCACTCGTCAAGTATGAAGAGGGACTCAGGTAAGCCAAGGAGGGACTGAGGTAAGTCGAGGAGTGACTGTGTGGCGGGAGCGGAGTAGGTGGTGCCACGCTTGAAGGCTGAGTTAGGCTGTGCTCCTTCGCCCTTCCAGTGGCATTTAGTGAGGTGTGAACACTTCTTAGTAGAGGAGTCAGAGCCATTGCATGCAGCCCTATTGTGGACATTCTTTGTGGGAGAGGCAGCTTTTGAAAGTGCCTTTTTATTACCGACACAGCCACCACTGTATTGATCATGGCCACTGGAGCTCACCCAGAGTACAAAGTACCACAAGAGCAACAGTACGTAGGCAGAAAGGACACAACAAATTCCATCTAGGCACTAGGGCGTGGGTGGAGTGGGATCAGGTGCAGAAGGTTTGTCCCAAAGTACAGACAGTTTAAAATCAGACACAGTACGTATAGGCCGGAAAACAAACGTGGTCAAACAGCTTGGGCTCACCCAGAATAGGAGACAGCAAAGGCAGGCTGGCCTCAGCAGCACTATTACAGGTAAGCAATAAGGGGACTCACTGCATACACCGGTAGGACAAGCAGCACCTGCCATTTAAGCAAAAACCTCCCAGGGTCAATACACGGACCTTAAATTTGGTCCCCATGACCAAGCAGGTAGAACTGGTAGAATAGAGGGAATACACTTGCAGAATCTGCAGCAGGACTGGAGACACAGGCATGCACTGTGTGAAGGAGCAGTCAGTCTCTTAACTGCAGAACTCGCTACCACTTGGGTCCATCAATATGGCCACCATGGATAGATCCAAAATGGCTGACATGAATCACCAATGAGCTCCAAAGAGTTGAAGAGCGCCAAACGAGCGGCATGCTGCATGGTTTATACTGCGGTCTAGTCCCACCAAGCACGGGGGGAAAAAAAACCAACAAAGCCCAGAATGACCAGCAAATACACTAAAACCTGCCAGGAACGGCTGCACATCGGAACATAAGTGAGAGAGAAGTTGGCAGGCATTGCCTGCAAGAGAATAGTGAAAAGACAGCCATGGGGCAGGCAGAGCCTTCCTGAAAAGGGACAAATAAGGCCCAGTAGTGCCTGCCTGAGAGAAAAGTAAAAGAGGGGATACAAACAGATGACGTCATATTCCGGGGGGCTGTCAGTGTGTATTATTATTATTATTTTTTTATTATTTATATAGCGCCAACAAATTCCGTAGCGCTGTACAATGGGTGGACTAACAGACACATAATTGAGATCAGACCACTGACGTACAGGAACAGAGGGGGTTGAGGACCCTGCTATGTCTGAGTAATTGTGTGTGTCTGGCTGTCAGTGTGTGTATGTCTGTCAGTGCGTATGTGAGTGATTGTGTATGTATGTCTGTCAGTGTGTATGTGTGTGTGTCTGTGAATGAATGTGAGTGTGTATGTGTCGGTTAGTGAGTGCATCCGTCTGTCAGTATGTGTTCAAATAATTGTGTGTGTGTGTGTATGTCATTGTTTGTAACTGTATATGAGAGTGTGTGTCTATCAATGAGTTTATGCGTCTGTCAGTGAGTGAGCGTCTGTCAAAGTGCGGCCTTGACAGGAAGGGGTGGGGAACATTTTAATTCGGGGGAGCACCGTCCTGCCTAGGGCAGCCCAAGTCCTAAATACACCTCTGACAAACAGAGAAAGTTTATTTAGTGTCACTTAATATTCAATCATGCAGGACATAGGATTTCCCCTTTAAAATGCAACCATGGTTACTGTACGTTTAGTTGGATAATAAAATAAATCATATATTGTTTAGCACTCAGTCTTAGCACGGTGCAGCCACTTGTAATAGGTAACTTCCACATCAGGTGGTTATTGCTTAGAATTAATCAAGCTTGCAATTTAGGAATTTGTAATTGCACAATTGTGCAGAAATATCTAGTCAACCGCTCTAGGCAAAGTTTTCTGGAGATCAGTCAAAACACATTATGCAAAAAATGTCACAAATTAAAGGAATGCCCTAAAATATGAACTTGTCCAGGAGCAATAGGCATCCACACAGAGCAGTATGCAGACGCTACGAAGAGAAGATGATCTCAAAAAGACCTGAGAGAACATTTATTTCTAACGTGCAGATATTTTCTTGGATATAGAAACCTTCAGTCAAAGCTCCAAGATTCAGACATTAAAAACAAATCTGGGAGCTGAGGGGTCGACACTTTACAGTAAAAGCAGGGATGTCGAGTTTACTGCCCCACATTACATGTTGCCACCATTGAAAACATTCAGATTTCTACAATGTAAGGTACACATCTCCCACTGAAACACACGGCACTCACTATGTTCTGCTGGGCTGCACAATGCACATGCAAGTTCTGATATCGCATGCATCCACTAAACCAATCTACAGGTTTAAACACCACTAAAATAGTCTACAAAAAAATACATTAAAAACTGGGTAAACGGCTGAATAAAAGTCATCTGGTGACCGGCAACCCATGATTAGAATTGATAGAAGGTATC